TTAAATATGTAAATATAGTATAAATGGATAAATTATAGAAGTTAATATATAAAAATTTGAAAATACCACAAATAACATAATAAAAATTAAAGTACCGCTTTTATTTGTTTTATTTTTTTCTCTCAGGTTTAGTTGCTTACAACAATTTAAAAATAGTAAAAAACACTTTGAAATGATGAAGAATTTAGTAATATAAGAGAGCATAATAGAGCTATATCTTTTATTTTTGTTTATTAAAAAAGCTATTTAAGGTGTACCTCAAGCAAAAAGCTGAATTTTGAAAACTAAAGAACTTTTTTTTTGGCTCCTATTTTTTCTTGATCACTTTTAAATAGTCTTTTAATACTTAGGTGAAAAAATCTTTAGTAAAAAGATATAAAGCACCTAAAACAATTCTCCTTATAAATGCCTATAGCAACAACATTTTGACCTATCTTTAGGTTAATGACTAGTTATTTATCTTACTTTACGCAGGTTTTAAGCTGTAATAAATAATTTTAACAGTTATTTAAAAAAGTTTATAGTCACTTGTCAAATTTAAGGCTGTTGATTTTGTTTATATTGCAAAATCTATAATTCTTATAAGAAATGACCAAAAAAAGCAAAGAAACTGTTGTTATTGACAAGAATTTATTTAATTTCTGTTAATAGTTATGATTTTTCTTCTGACTAGAATCAGTGATTGAGGAGATCTGATAAATCTATTTATCAAATTTTCACAAAAGATTTCGAAAGATTGAAAAAATTAGTTCAACTTGCAATAAAAGTATACACTTAATCGACAAGAAAAAAATAATCCAATTTTTGGAAATAATTTGCCAATATTGCTAGAAAAAACAAATTTTTTTTCCAGCTCAAAACCCTGTGACAACAAATAGAGTTATAAAACAAGCATGTCATACTGTAGCTGGTAAAAGTTCGTTAAAAGCTGCTAAAAGTTTTGATTCGTAAGCACAAAAATGTGTTACTGCTGTAACGCATATAGTCAGACTTTCCTTCGTTATAAGGTATATATTGTTTTCTATTGTTTAAATAATTTCTTAGCCAGTCAAAGTATATTTTTAAAACCATTATTTTCTAGTGTTTTTATAAAAATGTCATGGTCAAATTTATGATATGCTTTGCTAAGATCTATAAAAGTTGCAAGAGTATACTTTTTGTTTTTTTGCAAAAGGCTTGAAATATGACGTGAGCAATATGACGTGAGCTATAATAATATAAGTATGATCAGTGAAATTAATTGGCTGAAAATTAAATTTCTTACTATTCGCTCAAACGTTATATAGAAACAAGAGAGAACTGATATTAATTAGTAATAGATTATGTGTATTTATGAGGAGTTAGATATGAAGTAAAACCTACATTACCAATTTGTTGATTAAGTGTTTCGGCGATTAAAGATTTATTTGTTTATTTTTATTTATTATTAATCATCTCTTGTTTATAAATACATTTATAATTAATTAGACATCGTAAGTCATAAGACGGACTTATGAGGTTTTTAAGACCTCAGTTTCGCTGGTTTCACTGGTAAAGTTATCAAAAACTTGAACTATATTATTATTATTACTTAATCATATTTATGCCATATACTTTCTTGATATTATTACATATCACTTTAGGGATCGTTCATAAATTACGCAAATGCAAAATATGTTTTAAAAGCAGTAGTAGGAGATATTAATCTCTTTTACACGATTTTCATTCCATTGAAGTTTTTTATTTAAATGAAGACTCTGCGAGGGAAAATTTTTGATCTTTTTCGTTTTGTTTATTGTGAAAGTTTGCGTTACGTAATTTTTGGACGATCCCTTATCTAAAATCTACAGACGCTGACTATAGAGTTTTTGTAAACTAACTTGACACTACGCGCGTTTTAAAATTATACGCTACATTTACGCTACATTAAGTATCCGCAAAAAAGTCTTTTCTTTTGTTTTTATTTTGATCTTTTTTAATATTTAAGTTGTTTTATCTAAAACAACCATGTTGATAGCTATAAAATTACAATATGTATCTATCGAATATATACAGAATTGTTGGTATGTTATTATTATCTTCAATAATATAATGATAATATCGCCTAAAATGTTGTGGTGTTTAAAAACAATAGTATTATGTTAATACCGCCTAAAAAGTTGTGGTTTGTTACTACAAATAAGTTGTGGTTTGTTACTACTAGCTTAATATTTCTAGCTACAAAGTAGCGATATGTAGCCATTGACTAGCTGCAAACTTGTTGCTATGTTGTACCTATAGGTACAACATAGCAACAAGCTTGCAGCTAGTCAATGGCTACATATCGCTACTTTGTAGCTAGAAATATTAAGCTGTAGTACTACTACTAGCTTAATATTTCTAGCTACAAAGTAGCGATATGTAGCCATTGACTAGCTGCAAACTTGTTGCTATGTTGTACCTATAGGTACAACATAGCAACAAGTTTGCAGCTAGTCAATGGCTACATATCGCTACTTTGTAGCTAGAAATATTAAGCTGTAGTAACAAACCACAACTTTTTAGGCGGTATTAACATAATACTATTGTTTTTAAATACCACAACATTTTAGGCGATATTATCATTATATTATTGAAGATAATAATAACATACCAACAATTCTGTATATAGCTAAAATACTACAATATTTAGTTAACACCGTAGTAATACCAATAGCTACAAAACTGCGATATCTAAAGCGACTTGTCATAATAAAATCGCAATAGTACAATTTCAACAATCATCGTAAATATATTATATCCAATACTAAAAATATAACTTTAAAGACATAAGAGATAAAAAAAAGAAAAAAAATTGCTCCAAAAATTACTAAAAAACTACCTAGTCGCTTATATATCCTAAAGCCCGTATGTCAATAGGTATTCTAAATTTAAAAACAATAGTAGCTAAGGACGGTTTTCAAAATGATCAAATAGCCTATTAATAGTTTCAAAAAAAAAAAGAGGTTTTGTTTCATTAGGAAGAGTGTTGGGATCATCTATAAAGGACGTCACTTTAAGTTTAACTAATAGCAAAAAGAAGGAGAATGTTGACTCTCGTACGCAGAGACTTTAAGAATAATATAGCGCCTTATGCTCAATAAAAATCTCCGCGAAAGGAGCCAATAAACTTCTACTTCTAGTTAGTTGTTAAATTTTGAATGTCGTCCTTTATGGACGACCCCTTTACACATCATTTATAACATGGTGCAAGAATTTTGATTTGTTTAAATGATCACTAATAATTAAATGTACTGAATCTATAATGTAGACAACAAGACCGTAAGGTCTTGTCGTCAAGATTCGTTAACATAAATTTCCATAATAAATAAAAGTGGTAAAAGATAAACAAGATAATTTATTATCTTTTTTATCTTTTATACACTTTTACAAGATTAATTTAAGATAATTTAGGTAAAAAGGCAAACTGTAAAAAAATATATAAAATTATGGTAATAAATTTTAAAAATTAATTCTTTAAGCTTTCATTATAATAAGTTGTTGTTAAATTAATAAAAACTTAAGAAAAACTTTTCAAAACTATTTTGTTCCATAAAAATGATCCACGAAAACCAATGCAAAACGAAAAAATTCAGTGTTAACATAAATAGTTTAGCTTTTTTAATTTGCAAAATAAATTCCACCCAAAGAATTAACTGCAAAATTTTAATGGTAAAAAAAAACTTATTTGTTTTCCACCATTTTTTTTTATAAGTTAAAGGGTTTAAAAGATTTACTATTAATATTTTAAAATGATCCATAACTTTAATTTGAAATTTGTTAGTATGTTTAATTTAAATTACGCAATAAAAATTTACTTTTAGGGAACGCATTATAATTGGAGTCGATCAGACTGTGATATGTCGTTTTATAATAACATGAAAGAAGTGTGTTCTCAAATGAAAGAAAAACGTTCTTTTTGGGGTTCAGTAGTCGATCTTTTAAACAACATTGGCAGCAAAGCGAATCAGTGCAGAACTGCGGCAAAAGTATACTTTGAAGCTGTTCGCTTGTTTGCAGAATCACACTTTGACAAACATGATCACGATTATTGTTTAGCTAAATGCGCTGAAAACCATGGCAATCCTTTTGATAAAAAGTCGATTTAAATTAATTTTGTTAAACATTGGAGTTTTTTTTTCCTTCAAAAAAACGTGTTTTTATACTTCTATTTTTTCAATTTTCGAATAAGTTGAACAAAATCATTTAAAATGATGTAAGAAAGAAAATTGGGTAATCTTAAGATTTATATTCCAATTATATTTAAAATTTTCTGGTTTGCACAAATCTGAACTCTTTTATGTGGTCCTAGTAAGTATTTTGCTCGTAACTTCTAATAGGAATTGCTCATGTTTAAATTTTGTCAATTTTTAATAACAACCAGTGGTATCACATTTTAAAGTCTGAAAAAAAATTTAACCATTTATAAATGTAAAACTGTTTTAAGTATTGTAAAACTTTTAGTTTCTATTACAGTGACAGATCAAGGTGGAGGATGTGGTGGGGGAGGAGATGTTGAAATATTTTTGTATTTTGCACTGCATTTGCGTCTCAAAAAAAAAAAAAAAAGGTCCTCAATTTCTAAGATATTTTAGGACTTTCAGATTCTGGCAGGGGAAGCCCTGGATCCGTCACTGTCCTATTATACAACTAATTTTTTTAAAACTTTTTGGTGGTTAAAAAGCAATTAAATACTACATTTATAATTTTAACCATATACTGTTTGTCAAAATTTAATTCTCAATTTGAAAACTTATTTAAATGAACGTGAAAATATAGACACGACGTTTTGTAGTCAAATGGGCATCTTTTTTTAATTTTTATTTGCATATATTGTTAACATATATTTGCAGATAATAAAGTATATACGAATACTTTTTACTATTAAAATTTGGAACAGCAAAAATTTTACAAGTTTTCAACTTTCATATACTAATATATTAATTTTAGAATTTTTAGAAGAAAACGAATCGTTTTTTAAGTGCAAGAAATAATTTTTTTTTTTTAATTAAGAATCTTGAATGGTCTTTTTCCTTAAAATATTATTACCTAAAAACATAATTATCTTAAGATAATATTTACAGGTACTTACCTGTAAATAAAAAACAAGAATACTAAAAAACGTTTATTAAAACTTTTAGTTTTTTTTTAAAGTTTAAATTAACCCTACTTTATTCTTCTGTATATCTCATTACAAACAACATTTTCACATTTAAGCTTAACATGTAATTTTCCGTCAATAACTTGATGCTCCATTATCGCAGCTATTGAATCATCTGATTTATATCTCATTTCTTGAATTACTTTTCTTCCACTAGTTTCAAATATACGACCTATTTCTGGCTTCCCAGATAAAGTTTTTTCAGGTACAAAATCATGTGCAGTTGACATTGGATACATGTTTGTATTAAAAGAAGAAATTGTTTTTTTTGTCAGTAATGATTTATCTTCAGACAATGAATATTCAAAATCTGCAGAAAAAGTGGTCATTATTGTTCTTAATAAATATCTAGTTTGCCGACACACCAGAAAATCATTAAATGTTGGGTCTCTTGATTCCAATCTCCAGGTGCCAACCATATCTTCCATTCTTAAATATAAATAATTAAAAAATACAAATTATTAGACATTTTTTATTACTTTCTTTTTTACATATTGATATATAAAAATAGTTGACATGACGAGATAAAATAAAAATAATACAAAACAATTTCAAAAATAAATAATTTTTTTTAGGTTAATACTGTGTGGAAATAAAAATTTATTTATAACATAAATAAAAAACAAGTAAAAATTAAAAACAACAAAAAATATTTATTGTGCATATGTGCTTACAATGTCTCTAGATAAAATAACTAGAATGCTGCATTATAAAAATAATACATTTTACCAAATTTAAATAATTTAGGTCTAGTAAACCTTGCAAAAAATAAAATTGTATGGATAAACAATTTCTTCAAAATATCAAAAATATTTATAAAAGCTAAATTAAAACAAATTTTAACAATTCGGTGACAATGGTTTCAACAAAACTCAGTTATTTACTAAAGAACTATTGCAACACTGTTGACATTACTCATCATGGAAACTATATATACAATCGATTGCAAAGTTAGCATTTGCTAAGGTTGCTTCTCTTTATTGTGCTCGCCATTATCTTATACTAATTCTATTCTCAACCTTTACAAACCTGTATGGGGACAAACCTTTTGTTTGTCCCCATACAGAAAACAGTTTTTATACTTGGGCTGGTTCTTCTAACAATGCTCTTTGTATTTTAGACAAGATCCAAAAACGCATTCAAACAAAGTTGGACCTGCTTTTTCTGCCAAGCTTGAGTCTCTCTCACATGGCCGTAAAGTCTCTATCTCTTTCTCTTTTCTACAAATATTATCACTCAAAGGTTGCAGCTCAAAAAAGCTATCATTTCTAGTTCTATTAACCAAAACTCATTCAGTAGAGTCACATCCTCTTACTGTCCTGTCCCTGCTTGCTCTAAAAACTTATAATTTGTTTAGCTTTTTTCCTCCGCACTTCAATTTGAAGTTTTGCACAGCCATTAGCAATGAGGTCCACATAAAAACCCACGAGTCAAGTCAAGAAGATTACTTATAATAAAAAATAAAAAATGATGCAACACAGATTTTCATTGTGGCTAGCATATTAGATAAAGAAAGAATTGTAAGACTGACCAACAATTTTTTTTTGCCTAGGATGCTACAATTGGATGCATTTTTTAAATGAAAACTCAAATGGAGTACTCTAGGTGCTTATTACACAGGAGGGGATTTTTTGGGAAAGTTTTTTACTCGCTCTGAGCTTATTACGACCCCTGGTTTATTAGTTTTTACTTGCCATCAACAAAGAAACCAAATTTTAAAAAAGAAACTTTTAGTTTAAAATAACCTTAAAATTTAAAAAATAAGAAACTCACTGATAAAAAAAACAAACATTTATTAAGATCTCCTGTTTATTAGATCTTGAGAAAGCTGACAACTAAATTAAAGAAAGCATAAGCTTTTGACAAATTCGACAGAAATTTAAATACCAATACATTATACATCAAATTACATAACTATTTTAAATTTGAAAAAACAAAGCTCTAATAAAACATACAACAAAACTAAAAAATTGAAGAGAAAAGTTTTCATTTCAAGGTATTTTAGAATTTATACACTTCTTTAATGAGATTTTTTAAAAAACTTAAAAGAAATTTGTTGTATTTGTATTAACTTATTTTAAATAAAGATAAATTAACACAAATATAAGATGAAGTAACTTACACAACAAAAAGTAATCAGTACAACCATACAAATACAATCGGAAACACAGTTAGAGATTTTTTTTTATAAACTTCTGTCCATAAAATTTAATATGGTTTATTATGCAATAATTTATGGTCAGTGATCATAAATTCTCTCCCCAACACCGTAATCCTTTTAAGGATTTTTTTTTTTTTTTTACATGTTTATTTTACAACTACGAAGTATTTACAAGTAACCATTCGCAGATTGGCGGTAAAGATAATCAAACATAAATATCATAAACATAAAGTTCGAAATACACGGAGCAAACAAAATATAGTTGCATTCAACTCCGAGAACGATTAAAATATTTACTTTTAAAAGTTATTAACATTACGATTATCATATCTCTTTTCGGACATTGACCAAAACTGCCCTTGAGCCGACGACACTGAGAGGGGCATATGACTTTTTTTAGATTGTGCCTTTCCACTTCGAAACCCGTGTCGTCGGCCCTGTGCACTGAATCTTTTTTTATTTTTTTATTTTTTTAGGTTCTTTAATTTGAACCAATTCTTTGATAATTTTAAAGAACCTTAAACAAAATTAAACAAAATATCAGAATAAGGATTATATCAAGTATAATATATAATCTTGTTTGCCATATAGCAAAACAAGATTATATATTATAAAAGAATTGGTTCAAATTAAAGAACCAAAGATTCAGTGCACAGGGCCGACGACACGGGTTTCGAAGTGGAAAGGCACAATCTAAAAAAAGTCATATGCCCCTCTCAGTGTCGTCGTATGTATGTTGTATTGTGTAAAACTGTAAAACTGTAATAGCTATTACAGTTTTACAAAATGAAACATTGAAAAAAATAAATAAACTCAAAAAAAAATTCCTTGAACATGCATTATCATTAACTTGAGAAACAATCATATTCCTATCATAATAACAGTCTTATTTAAAAAAAGATTTTTAACACTCTTTTTGTTGTTGTTGTTTGTATGTTTCTGGTTTTTTAGTTTCTAAAATCAATTTGTAACGTTTGCCAGTATCACGGGATTATATTTCATTATTTTGGCTAAATCTCTTCTCTTTTTTTATAATAAATATCGTTTAGCTTTTGAGCTATAAATTTTCGGCAATTGCAGTCACTTAAAAAGTTTTTTGTTTCCTTGTAGGGGAGAGTGACCTAAAACGGGCTCCTTTTCAAAAAATGATAGAATCAGCTAGCTATAACCAACCGAAAATTACAAACAAATTATTTTTCAGGAAATTCAATCTATGTTCTACAATTTAACATCAAAAAAATAAAGGTGTGGCTATGCCTTTCATTAGGAAATAACCGTTGAACAAAGAGATGCTAAGGGCCCGTTTTACCCTTGAGGTAGCCTAAAATGGGCCCCTTATTTAATTTCTGAATAAAACCTAATTATTAAACAAAAATTTACTGTAACTAATTTATTGATGGTACATAATCTTCTGTTCACATTAAAATTTGACACTCTGAGTAAACTCAAATGAGGCAGAATGTACAATGTGCCTAAATTGAAGTGACAACTCTCGAACTAATCTTGTGCAAATTAAAAGATAATATGTTTATTTTAAAAAATATTAAAAAACACAATAAACATAAGTGGTTTTTATAACTTATAATTGCAATAAACATAAATACAATATTTAGCTCAACAAAATTTAAAAGTTGTCTTTTTAAATATATTAAAAAAATGAAACCTCAGTTTTATTTTTTACTTATAGCTGTAAAGTTTAGTTATCTTTATTGTTCAATTCTTAAGCACATAACATTGTTTTTTTTATTGGGTTTTTTATTTTTATCAGTTTCTTTGACGAAGCGTGGTCTTTTTTTGGCCTTTGTGATTTTTTTTTTCTTTTGCTCTTTTGATTTCTGTTAATAACTTTCGGTTTTCTTTTAATAACACTTTTATTGTCTTTGTATTTTGTTTTTCTTCCAAAGCATATTTGTATGGACTGCTTGTCAAAACAGCAGTAAACCCTTGTGCTGATGATTTTTTTTTTCGAGGAGTAATAATCTTTGGAATAGGAGAAAGTTCTGTTAAGGGAAAATATTGGTTTTTATTTGATACTGTTAGTGGAACAACTGGCTCTGAAAAGTTGAGACTTTGTGTCAGAACTTGATTAACAACTGGCGTTACAACTTTTGAGGCCTGAAGCTCATTGAGCAGATCCTCATTTTGAGCAATGTCTAGAATTTGCTGTGGCGAGATTAATGTTTGCCCAGGAACATCTTCTAACATTATTTTTTTATTGAGCAATTGCAGAGGAATATCAGTTGCGAGTGCTGAGGCAAAATCATTGTCTGTAAAAACATTTCGATTTATCGGAAAAATGCCAGTCTTAACAAAACCATTAACAGCAGTGATAGCGGATGCTGCTCGCAAGTAGCTATTTTTAAACAGTTCGGCTATTTGATAAGTTGTTACAACTCGTCCAGGATGATTTCTCAGCCAATTTTCAACCTCTTGTGCATAATAGGTCATTAAAGGCTTCATAAAAGCTACATCTAAAGGTTGAAGTCTATGGCTACAATGTGGTGGAAGACACAATAAAATAACGTTATTTTGACGAGCTAGATTAATTACTTTTAGATTTGAAGTATGAGTTTTATGCCCATCTAATATTAGCAAAACAGGATCATGCTTTGTTGGGTTAGCATATTTTACAAAGTGCATGAACCAAGTAACAAATATATCACTTTGCATCCAACCTGATGGGTGACAAACAGCAATTGAACTGGGCGGTGCAGCATCCATTAGTTCAGATTTCATGTGAACTCTTGGAAAAACAAAAAGAGGTGGCACAAAATTACCTGAAGCACTCATGCAGATTTCCACTGTAACCAACTGCCCATGCTCAGCAGAAGTTAGGCATCCAACCTGTTTCTTTCCACGAATAGCAACCACTTTTGATGGCTTATTTGGAACAGTAGTAATGCCTGTTTCATCAACATTGTAAACACGATCTGGAAAAAAGTGATGCTTTTCCTGCAATGCTTGCAATAAATCAAAAAACTTTCCGACACTAACTTGATTAAAGCCCTGTGCTCTTGCGGCAGAAGTTGGCTCTGGTGTTCTTACAGATAATTCAGGGTGTCGAGTCAAAAATCCACGAAACCAATTAGCACCAGCTTGTTCACTTTTTGAACTGAACCTTTTATGAAGATTGTTAAGTTTAGCAAACTGGTAAGCAACTTTACGCAAAACTTGAGGTGTTAAACCAAAAAGCATAGCTTCCATTTGCTTGATATGAGTCACCAGCTCATTTTCCATTTTAATAGAAAACACACATTTTACTGATCCAAGTGATTTTAACGAGGCTTGTACAAAGTTCAAATTAAGTCTACACCTTCTTTGCAGAGTACTCCGTGGTACATTGAACTGCTTGCATGCTTTTTTAAGTCCCATTTCTTTCTTTCTTACAGCTTCAATAGCTGATGACATAGACCTCTCACTCCAACACTGCCTTTTTGTTTTTCTTACATATTTACCCATATCTAAAACAAGAGGAATTGATAGAAAAAAAGCTTATAAAATCAGTCCAATTCAATCAAACTATAAAAAAAACGTCTTAGGATGTAAATTTTACACTTAAACTTTTTTGTAACTCTCTATATATTTTAATTATATTCAATATAATTACAATATATAGAGAGTTATATATAATCTTGAAATTATATATTACAAACTCTTTAAAAATATAATTAAAAGCACACAAAGTATAAAATAACATTTAGATTCAGTTTAATATTATTTATTTACATATTTAAATAATATGTATACATTGTATTTAATAAGGATTGATAAAAAATATTGCCAAATCTATAATTAAGTAAGATTTGCATATTTTCACAAAAAGTTACAAGTTATAATCAATATTCAAATATATATGTAAATAAATGACACGAATGAAAGATTATAAAAATTTTTAAAAATACAAATACATAGCTGTTGCTTTAAATTACAATAAAAATAGCAAAGGAAGTCGTTGTCTTTATTAAGGAAGGAATTAAGGAAGTCACTATTACTTATTACACCGTTACGACAATAATATTGCCAATTTATTCTTTTTTTAACTGACACTAAGCTGAAATATTTTGCCGTAAAACCTTGCTATTTGAACGGGTGAAATGGGCCCCGGGGCCCATTTCAACCGGTTTGGAGTGTGTTATTGATATTTAGTGAAAAACATAAGTTGTTAGACTATTCTCATAAAAATCTTGTGCTAATAAAAAGATAACTTGTTAAAGCTTTAGAAAGTATCAAAAAAAAAACAATTAACATAAGTGTTTTTTACGATTATAGTAAAAAATATTTAGCTCAAAAAAATTTCAAAAGTACTACTTTCAATTATTCTTGTTGCAAAAAAATAACAATGAAATAAACTATTTTTCGGATGGTTTTCTTAAATGTTTATAGTCTGCTGCACAATATTCTACAGTAAAATTTATAACAATTATTGTCCAAGCAAGAGATTTGATAGGGGCCCATCTCACCTTTTGGGCCCGTTTTAGACCACTTTCCCCTACTTTGTACATATCTAATTTTGGCCCATTTAAAGTCTTCATTGAAAGATGTTCAAATATTTTTTTACTTTTAATATTTTGTTTTGTTGCAAATAATTTGTCTTATCTATGTTAAAGAAATTTTTAGAAAATAGAGAGGTTACAGCTGATAGTTTAGAAAATCAGTGCAGACCGTCTGCAATATTTCGAATTTAAAACTTTGTTAGCGTGATTGTTAATAGGCTTAACATATCAATAAATATTTATAAGTTTTTAATGTAGCGTTCTCTAACAATGTATGCCACATTAATCTCTTGTAAGTTACCGCATCCTGGATTGGAACATTTTTGCTCTATTATTTCAAAGTTGTCGCTATCTTCTAATTTTAGAAAATTAAGTTTTACTAAGCTCATTATTGAATTTTTAAGTTGCGGAACGCAACTGTCCGATGCACAATATTTTTGTTTCATAATAAATGTATTTTAGTACAGTTTTTAATTTATTACAACTGCACTGGTAATTGCCAGATCTCCCACCCAAGCATTCGGACCAAATACTATTACATACCCATTTGTAATAACAATTATAACAGGTTAAATTGTAAACATTTATTTTAATCAAATAATAAAACCTTGATGCAGAAGGTTTTGCCGGGTAAAACGCATTTTAAAGATCAAAAGCTACAGATATTATTCCGTTAACGTTTTTTCGG